GCCACGATACTCTACATAATTCTTACGGTCATCTAATAGTGAAATGAATAATTCTACAAGATTATCACAGATACCAAAAGTGTGCAGCTTATTTACAACAAGTTCATGACCCACTTGATCAAACGCCTTACTGAAATCAGTATATACGACATCAACTTGTTTTCTATCATTCAGGGCATTTGTCACAAGCTGAGTGTAATTACAAAGATTTGTGCTTGTGGACCGGCCTCTAACGAAACCATGTTGTTCAGGAACAAGAGAGTTAGCTATATGGCTGTATAATTTGTGTGCCATTATACTTTCGAAAATTTTTGCGAAGTTGGGAATTATAGCTACAGGACGATAGTTTGTAACATCTGATCTATTCCCAGACTTAAAAACTGGGCACACTTTAGAAACTTTCCATATATCAGGAAATGTGCAATTTCTAATAATTCGATTAAATATTACACAAAGAGCGACCTTAAAACAGCTAAGACAGTCTTTTATAAAGAATGAGGGTAGTTGATCACAGCCCATTGTAAAGTTTGGCTTAAGTTAACGACTAGCTGTACGTACATCAATAACAGTAATTTCAAACCTATGCAAAACAATATCAGAATTGACAGGGATATCACAGACATTAAATTTATCACAGCTAAGATTAGTATCAATAACGCTATCAAAATTTGGATCTATGTTATCATTAGATGAATGAAAAATATCACAGGAATTATCACTTGTTTGACGACTAGAGTTGAAAGGTTTAACAAAGACACTCTTAAAATGATCAGAGAAACCATCAACAATTTCTTGAGCTGTAGTATAGGAGAAGTCATTTTGGAACATTTTCCCTGGTATTCTGCTGGTTTTTCTTTTGTTAGTTATATAACTCCAGAAGTTATTTGGATTCAATTTGATATCAGATTCAGCCGAACAGATAAACTGTTTGTGTTCACGTTGTATGCTTCTCTTTACTGACTTTTGTAAATTTTTTGCTTTGTCGCGATACATTTCAAAATTGGTCTTCTTATACAATTTCCAGTAATATTTTCTACTCTTGATATTTTTTATTATCTCATTCATTAGTAAACCATATAGGATATTTAGAATTTTTCACAGTAGATCTTGGGACATGCATTTCAATAACTGAAAATATCTTATTGTACAATATATCACAAGCATGGTTTACATCTTCAGTGCTATTAATCTCATCCCAAGTTAGAAATTGCATTGCTGTGTACATACCTGAGAACTTTGCTTTACGATAATTGTATCTGGATAGCAGTTTATCATTTACAAATTTGCAGTCGTTATTAATCAAACAGTCTACTTCTATTGACAAACAAGGGTGATAACTATCCTCTTTTACTAAAGGTTGATCATGGTGACTGACGGTAACATTGACATCATTAGATGTGATAAATAACTCAAGAGTACGGCCTTTACTGTTCAAAATATTATTGTGTTGGTACATATCATTAAAGTTTAAAAAATTGTGAAGGATAGTGATAGTGATACTGATTTGGTATTAAACCCTCCAGATGTTGTTATGTGTGGAAAGTTGAAGTCTCCTCCAATACGAGTTATATTTTGAAAATTTATTGTTTGTTCCATATAATCAAAAATAAGTTGATACTTCTCAGGTTTTATTGAAGGAGGAATATACAAATTAATAATATTAATTGTGTCATCGTGGTAAGTATTGAACCTTACAGGCCACAATATCAATTTCTGAAACAGGATTACTCAATGTTATTTCTACCACATTGAGCTTGCTATCAAAAGCAATTAGTACTCCACCACCCCTGGTAAATTCTCGATCTTTTCTGAAGACATTATAATTATTACTAAACAATTCATTAGACAAAATATGCTTGTTAAGCCAAGTCTCTGTTAATAGGAATATTTCAAAATCACAAGCTAAGATACTCGTATAAAATGAATCAAGTTTCGTATTAAGACCTCTTACATTTTGATACAGAACACTTAAATTGATGGCAGTCTTGTTTATTCTTGGGATGTTTATATGTTTTTTCTGTTGAAACTAACAATTTTGGGAACAGCAGCTCGATTAATTAATTTTATGTCAGTTTCGCCATTCTTCTTTCTTTGGGCAAATTCTTTGCGAATCTTTTATGCTTGATTACGTTGTAAGGGAGTTAGATCTCTGTTAATAAATATGTTGTTCTCAAGTTTGTAACCACTTACAATAGCATTTGCAATATCCTGTGATGGAAAAATAACTTTGAGAGGACGGTGCTTACCATCAGAGCTTTTCCCTAGTCGATAACACTTTATATTATTAGCGTTAACTGCAACCTGAGTTTTTGAAAGAAATTTTAGTAGTTTCTGGCGTTCCTTTTCCCGATTTACATCTATTGAGTCAGTTTCGGAGTTTGTTTGAATTTCGGGTAAATTATAGACAATTACGTTTGGAGTTCTTCTCTGACGATCTTCAATTTCATTAATTATCTTATAATCAATGGTGTTGTTATCAGTTTGCTGTGAATTCCTGACGGCTTCTTGTAGAGTTGGAGTCTCCTTTTTTAATGTATTCACTTCGACCTTCAACGTTGCAATTTCTGACTGTAAACTCGAAATTATGTCCACAATTTTTTACATCTGGGGCAGAAATAGTGCAACTGTCGATTTTTTTCTCTTAGACAAATAATTTCATGACGACTTAGGCCTGAGCAAGCTGAATGTAGAGGTGACTTACAGATATCACAAGTAATTTTTTCGTCATTCCTGACATCACTGTTGCATATTATACATTCACACGTCATGATTAGTTTAGTATCACTAAACACTAGGTAACAATTATATATTATACATAAGTAAACAAATTGATACACTTATTTGCAGAGCGAAAGTGTACGACGCCAATCAAATTAATGTACGATTAACATTCTTAACTTAACAGATATTTCTATGATATGATATGCACTGATGAGATTGTTGACAAAATATACTTATCCAAAAGGTATAAGGTTATATGACCATCATAAAAGTAGCTGACCGCAAATAAATACCCCCTTTGTGTGGTTCGCACTAAGCTTACCGGTTGGCAATAAATCGTCTTCTAAACATTTCTTGCTCACATTTAACAGGGCCGGCTTTCAAAGCTAGTGGTTATTTCGGAACCCTCAGCGGCTACAGGTAGTAAAGAAATAGTGGAGTGGTGGCCTTTCATATTTAGTGAAAGCTGCCCCTGAACGAAACCACAACAGCCGGTCGAGCTGCAGTGGACACGTTATTTACGACCCTCAAACCTTTTCTATTGTAAACAACTTAACTTCGACACAATGGGATGATTTTATGATGGCCATATAACCATATACCTTTTGGCCTACTATAAAACGTCGTTCGTAGTGTTACGCCATAAAGATATGTGTGCTATTATTCTGTATCCCACCCTTACGAGACTAGAGTGATTAACCGATCATCACCCGACAGGTGGCCTACCTTACACTAGTCTACCCTGCCCTGCCCTATCCTGAGTCCTGACCAACATGATCACATTCTTCGAGGACTAAAGAAATGTTACAAATGTGCTGACAATGTCAGAAAGAGAACTGTATAAAATTATGATTACGTATTTTGTAAATTATCAACTAAAAATTATTTTGTACATGTCTTTATTTTTGTTGTAGCTATTTAAAACAAATTGATTAACAACAGTGGCGGCTCGTGACCTTTTGAAATGGGGGACACAAATGGATTGATGGGTTAAATATGAAGATATAAAACAGGTTGTTATTATCAATTAATAGACGAAATTGTGACGGAAATAAATACAAAAATACATTTAATAAAAGTAAAAAAGGATTTCTCCACATACCTTTTTGCCTTCGGTCAAGATTTTACGTTGATAGCATCTAAAAGTTCATTTTGGACAGTTTTAGACGTTCCTTTAAAAACCGTTGCTTCTTTCAAATAATCTGATAAAGCAGAGTCGAATCCAGCCGTAAAATCAATCAAACCTCGAAATATACCTGGATTTTATGGTTTCCTATTTTCGTCATGTCCACGTAAAGCAAGTTCAAACACTCCACAAAATTTTAGGCACGTTATCAATCGGCAGAATATATGCCGATTTTTGTGGAACTTTGTGTTATGTGCCCCAATATTATTAATATAGGCGGTGTTTAGTTGTTTCCGAATGTCTGTATTATGAGAAGGTTATCCAAAATATTTATCATACCTGTTTTACGTCTATCTCGCCCAGCATGAAAATTAAAACCCGCGATTGAGTTACACCTGCCGAGCACTGTCAGAACGGGACCGCAGTTCCACTGCTTGAAATGGCTAGGGCATGTGGTTTCCATGGCAACGGTGTAAACAAAACGTTTAAATCAGCCATGATTCGGTCTTTGTGCCCGGCTTTAATCAGCAGTAACATGTAATATATTCAAGACACACATCTTTAGATGTAACTGGATGTAAGTTTTGATATATTTTATACAAGTGGAGCGAGATAAAAAAAATTAGTTTTGATAATTATGACACAAATTTCTGGATAATTTTTTAAATATTGAAAATGACTATTTTGCTATGTCCAGTGTGTTTGTAGACGTTGTAATTTTGGGGTTCCACGTGCCCTTGTGTCCCCCATCACCAGGCCCCCTTATTAACAACTAAATTTTCTATGTAAAAAAGGATTCTGTAATGTGAGAATATTTGAGTACGGACCTGAAAGGAAGTGAAAGTGTATGAATTAAGATCACCCGAACCATTGTTCAGATTCGATTTGTGGTAAGGCTTCAAGTGAGTTTTGAAACACTGGACACTAATATTTACGTTATTAGTTTGATCAAAAGTAATCTTGAAATATACAATTTTTTTTAAGTGTCATTTTCTGTTTGGGCATAAGGAGTGAGACACAATGTTTCATTTAGAAAATTTACAAAATGTACAATAATATTGGTTGTTGTACATCGGTCAAAAATTGGGAAGGGCTCCTTATTTATCAAAATGAGTAATTTTGTGGTGACCACAGTAGTTTATATATTCGTAACGTACTGCATATCGGACAGTAACCACATTTCAGGGAATGACGTAGAAGTATACTTCTTTGTTGTTACAAAGACTACAACGTGTTTCATGTCAATTTTTTTTCCTCCTACATGGACCAGGTGTAAAGAAAAGGATACTAACTTCCGAAAACTTCCCTGAACTTTCGCAATGGCAAATGTAAGTTATCTGCATTGTTGATACTTCATGGCTTCTGAAAATGTTAAAATAATTTTAGCACAATTATAAATAAAACAATTCACAACTGAAAAATGTAATTGTGATGAAATTATGCATTGTGAGTACTCGAAAATTATCCATTACAAATTATATGTTAAAATGGAAGTTGACCGTAATTTTCAAACGTTATCAAAAATTTCCGAAAAAAAGAACGGTAGTTTTGAACTACTATTTTCATAGTGTTCTCTTTATCCTCGAAGAAAATAAGATGGCTTTGATAATTAAATGCAATTTGATAAATAAATAATTTTAAATAAGATCTCTTTAAGCATATGCCAGTTTTTCGAAGAGTTCTCGTTATTTTTTGTTATCCATGCTTTATGTCATACTTTGGAGGTAATAATTTGTATGTTGCCTACTAATCTGAAGTGCTTGAATTGATCAGGGAATTGTACTTCTTTTTGGTATTATTTTGAATAAACCTTGAACATTATAGAAATTTATTTGTTTTAAATAAGTAGCTAAATTTTGCGAAATATTTAATTTTTGAAATGTAAATTTAGTAAAAGATATAGGAGTATTCAGTATGTGTTGGTGGACACATTAATTATTGTGCAACACTTGTTCACGATATAATAACACAAGATAGGAATTGTGGTTTTATGTGTGATAATATACGATTACGACTATGTTTGGACTTTCCTGTTAGAGTTTATGCTACCTAAAAGCGCGTTCTTAATAATAATTGAGTTTATGTTAGTGTGAGAATAGTATTTTATTATTATTATATTTGCTTTTCAGTTAATAAAAGGAGAATTTACAAATGGATCATTAAAAATGTGGCTTAGGTCGGAGTACTTAGCATTCATTCAAGCTACTTCGCATTGATCATAGCTGTTTGTTTAATATTTTTGCTTTAAGTGTAATTGAAAATAAATAGTCTCTCTTCACGGATAAACAGAAATCTAAAAACAATTGAACTCGTATTTAAAAAATATTTTAGCAAATAATGTTAAGCTGTTTAGAGAATTAATTATTATTGTTTCAAATTTGGTAACTTTTTACATACTTATTTATTAAATTATCTAAAATCTGATGTTTTGAAAAGTATGAAATATTGGCTCACTATTCAAGATTTTTAGAATTTTAAATAAGAGCATAACATGTTTTTTGTAAGAGTACTTCTCTTTGTAATTTTAAAGTTAATGATGTTATTGACCAACCAAATACTTTCAAAAACAAAATTAATTTACTTATATAATTTATGTTTGAATTGCGATAATTAAATGATACATTCTGATTTTATTTTAGAGTATATGCATGTATCAGGATTTCGTTTTTCGTTAATCGTTTTATTAATATATGTTACAAGCAAATCGTACATTTCAGTTGTATACACTGATTATTCAGGCTTTTGAAAATGTTGAGTTTATACGTTACAAAGTATATAATTACTCTTTTTCAACACAATTTGGTTGGTGATACAGAATTACTTCATTAATTAATCAGTCGGTTCTGTATAGATATATTTCGTACCCAAGCATTTACCGGCTATGATAAATTTTTAAATTATTTAAATGACTTTTGATGCAACCAAATAAATTTATTTTTAAACGATTAAAAAAGGTTCAGTCAGATAGAAATGTGCTCGTCAAATTCCACTACTCACTAAGATGTTAGAAACATTTATAAATAACCCCGTACTGGTGTCACTTAAAATATGTAATCAGTGATCAAAAAAATTTTAGAGTAGAGTTGACCATGGAAATATTTGTCACGTTTTTAATTAAAATGCAAGTGTCAAAAATCCAAATTACTGAAATACAAAGGAGGTTATGCATGACAAATATTTTCATGACCAACTTTAATCTAAAAACTTTTTGATCACATTTATTTATCTGATCACACAATATCCAACTAATACCTTTTGCTCTACAGATGCATAACCATATATATCTGGTTATATTCGTCTTCCATTGTTTTGTATGGAGAACTGTGCTTTCCGCTGCTGTCGCTCAGGTATGTACACAATTACACATATGTACCTTTTTTAAAACAAAAACCTATATCCATATTTCTTTAGGGTAAAAATTCCAAAATATCTTCATTACACTATGAAGATTTCACTGATTTGAAAATCTCAACAGAAAGTCCAGTCGTTCCAAAATTAGATTTTTTACTATGTGACGTTCCATTTCCACCTAATTTCACATTTCCTTTACACTACAAAAGTTCCAAGATCAGAAAATGTTTTAAATCATATCCTTATTTCCCAAACCAAACTTTTTTCAATTCCGATGACACATTCGCTTTTCCGCCAATTTCAAAATTTGACACTGTCAAATCTGTGTCTTCCGCTAAAGAGACGCAATGGCATCCCAATGTAAATGGGGGCTACTGGACCTATCGTAAGAAACCTACACCCGTGAAAGATGATATTACAAGATTTAATAAAAATTTACCTCCACTTCACATCGCAAGGTGGCGTAACCTCGGAACACCGACTTTCGACGTACAAAAACCTTCGGTAATTGCTGAGCAGCCAATACCGAGGTCAGGACCCAGGCTAGGTCCGAAGGCAGGACTCAGGCATGGACCGAGGTCAGCATCGAAGCTAAGATCTAAGCCAAAATCCAGGTCAGGACCGAGGCCACCATCGAAGCTAGGACCGAGATCAGGACCGAGGCCAGTACCTAGGCTAGGACCGAGGCCAGACCCGATAGTAGGACCTTTCTCTAAATATGGGTATATTATTTGAGTATTTTTGTTTGGTTCTTACTTAAACTTACACTTTTAGTGGAATAAGAGGAACAGCAGGGGTTGGTGTGCCTGTGCCACATAAGTTCACGCATATGAGTCCGTTTCGACGGCATGGAGCACGGTGGTAGAAGTGAGGTGTAGAAACCTCATTCATAATTTGTCTCGAAATCACTGATAGAGACCATAAATCGTGCGATTGGGATTATATGTTACTCCTATTAGATTATTACCATACATTGTAATTGATTTCATCAGTAAAATTGATTTTTCGATTTCTGTCAAATAATACCAAGTTTATATAAACAAAAATATGTTGGTATTAATGTTATTGTTTGTTATAAGTTTTATTATACTGATATAGTTTTTGCCACAATTAAAAACTAGTACTTACTGGTTTTAGTTGCTAACAACTAGAACTCCAGTGCTGATTTTCATATTCTTTAGCGATGCTACGTGTTTATACTGTTGAAACTTCATCGAACGTCAGAATTGTCAACATGAAACATGCAAGGATAAACAAATTATAAAACAATTATTTTAACGTTTATAAAATTTGAGTTAATTATCTCTTGTTGGTCAGTGTTGTTTTTTTAATTTTGGCAAACACTGTAGGTATGTTAATTTTACCCTAGAGATACATATATAGTCAAAAAGATATTTATTCGTTTAAGCAACATTTATTCTTATTTGGAACATACAATAATAAATTGTTACAAAATATCGCAAATCCTAAGAGCATCCAGTCCTGCTTGTCATAGTAAAAATGGATTGTGCATTCTAAGAAATGAATTCTTGGTAATGTAAGCTTCTCAGTTGTCTTTGATGAATTGGAACTACTGGAAAGATCGCCACTAATACGCCAACATAACATTTTCATTTACACGTAATTGATTTCTCTGGTATTGATACTTAAAGCTTATTTTGTTCCACTTGAGACTTTTTTGATAAAACACTACTTTTCGAAATTTTCTATTGTATAAATAAAAATAGTATATTATAATGCGAGTTTTACAAGAAGCATTTTGACGCAGGCACGGTTTTAGAGTAAGTGCGACATTAGTATATTAAAGAACGAGTTTCATAAGGCAAATATCAAGGCACGAATCCAAGTATATAAAATGAGCGGCGAAGCCGCGAGTTATATAAAGCATGAGTGCCACAATGGCCTTATGAACGAGTTATTTATACTATTTTTTCTACCGCGCACGTTTTTTCGGACAATTTAATTGGAATTTGCGTTTTTTTAAATCTGGGGAATTTTGTCGTGGTTGGTGATGGGTTGGTACAAATATCTGGTATGACACAAACCACGAAACATTTAAAGTTCGAATTTTCACAACAACAATTGCAATTCGAATCAATTCGAGTTTTGTAAGTAAAATTGGTTAAAATGTCTTATGAAGACGTTAGTGCAGTCCTTACGCTTCCTGAAATACGGGAAATTGCACAGAATAGTATTGACATGTCACGTCATGGCTACCAACCTTACCGATCTAAATTACACCAGAACCCTTTTCCGCTATTAATGAACCGCTTTGACGTCATTTGGGTGCTTTAATAGCTCTGTTTCTAAATCAAGGTAGAACAATATCTATTACAGCATAGGACTTTTTTATTACGGAACGCTTTTGCGTATCGTTCTAGCTTTAGTACGAACGCAAAGTAGATTAAACAGTTTTAAGCATTAATCACGCCCATACTTAAGAAAGGCAATGAAACGAAAGCAGAGAATTATAGATCTGTTACCCTTACTTCCATATGTAGCAAGGCTGTGCAAAGAGTAATATGGAATCAAATGCTTCGGTTTTTTAACGAGCAAAACATATTTTTCACAACAACATAGATTTCTCTACCAGTTAATTGTTGCGGAAGTTAGATAAGGTCGGATTACAGTGGCTCGAAGTTTTCCTGCCTGTAGATCGTATTAGGGTGAGAGTGGGTTCTTCTTAATTCTACCAAGGGAGAAGTGCTATCAGTTGTCCCTCAAGAATCGATATTGTGCCCGATACTGTTTTTTGTGTATACCTATATCCCATTTTAAGTCTTTGTTAAAATCGTGTTATGCTTTTTACGTAGATGACGGCATCCTGTTTAATAACTCCCTAATATCTTCTATCATTAATTCATTATTCAAAACGATCTGACTGCTGCATACAACTGGTTAATGCCCTTGAATAAAAAAAAATGCTTCGATTTCCATTTGGGCAAAAACATTCCTTGGGAAAGAGGTCGGTGTATGCATTGAGATCTTTTAGTCAGTTCTATATGAATTGTTATCTAGATTTGTCCCTATTAAGTATTTTAAACGTTCTAAATTTCTTAAATGGTTTTCAGCCGAGTTAAAAAAACTTATTTATTTAAAGAATCAATATCATTTTAAATACAAATTATCGAATGACTATAGCGTTTATCAAAAATTCAAGAATTGTAGACGTTTGTGTAAGATAAAATCAATGGAATGTTACATTAAATATATATCGGATACAGAAGCTAAGATAAGATCAAATTCTAATGATTTTTGGAAATTTTGGAAAGATAAGAATAACATGAACTCCATTCCTAATGAAATGCATTCGAATTACAGAAAATCTTCCAACCTAAAAGATATAACTAATTTCTTTGCAGATAATTTCAAATCTATTTAGAAAGTGGATAAGCAAAATACAGATTTCGCTAAAATACGGGTCTCTGCTGAATCGAATTTTAATTTTAGATATATTTCGGTTTCTAAAGTATTCGATGCCATATTAGAACTAAAACCTAATAAAAGCCCCAGTCCAGATGGAATATTTCAAAATTTCTTATTAATACATTATTCAGTATAACTAAACCGATACACATAATTATTTAATTTATCTTTGAAACATGGACAGTTCCCTGAGGTTTGGAAAAACAGTTTTTTATTGCCTATTTTTAAATCAGAGAAGAGAGATGATGTCAATAATTATAGAGGAGTCTGTATACAATAAACAATACCAACAATTTTCGATAAATTATTTTTTAGTCAACTTAAAGTACCATGTAAACAGTTAATAGTGGCGTTTCAACATGGTTTCCGTCAAGGAAGATCGACTACAACTAATTTATTGTTATATCAGAACTTTATTATAAAATCGTTGCAGAAAGGAACTCAAGTTGATTCTGTGTACATTGATTTCTCGAAAGCCTTCGACAAAGTTGTAACCTACTTAACACCCCCCTATGATAACAAAACGTGCCAGTTTCCTAGGTTTTGATGACTCTCAGCCTCCGCTAATCTATATACGAGACGAGAGATAACCTTGGTGACGATACATGGTACATATTTTGGAGCCAGTTTACTGGAAAAGTGCTTTGATGCGTCTGAAAGTACATAATTGTGTTTCCACACCCGGTCACCTACTTGATAGGAATCAGCAGGACGGCGTCGTAAATTATACGTGTGAGAATTTCTTTTATACGCGGCCGTTAGTTTTTGACGCACTGTCTTGTAGATTTCAGACAAGCCCTCCAAATTTTCAAAATATTGACTCCGGTCAGGGTTCGTTAAATCAACTTTCGATGGGTCGCTGTTCCTGTCATAAAAATCTCCTGAAATTGGTACGTACCGACCAAAATTTATATACGTGGGAGATAATCCGGTGGCTTCATGAATGGCCGTTCGAAGCGCAAACCCAATTTTTGGTAAATGGACGTCCCAATACCGATGATTATTATCCTTAATGTAGGAACGAATAGCAGCCCCGGCTACTCTGTTCACTAGTTCTACGCTGTTTGTTTGGGGATGGTATTTTGCGTTATACCAAATCTTACATTTGTACAAATCCGCTAGCTTCTGAAAATCACGCGAAACAAATTGAGTACCATTGTCGCAGGTGATGATTTGAGGGACACCAAACATCAAAAAGACGTTTTCTTCTACAAATTTGATAATTGACTTGGAATTTGCCTTACGAAGAGGGTGTAATAAAATGAACTTGCTGAACCAATCACAGATCATTAAAATATAACAATGTCCCTGCATACTACGAGGAAGAGGACCTAAAATATCAATTGAAATCAATTGCCATGGGAAAGTAGCCTTTTTAGAAGAACCCATCAATCCGGGAGCAGCTACATTAGTTGCCTTTTGAGCTGAACAAGTTGAACATCGAGAGACATATCGTTTAACATCAGTTTGCATGCCAGGCCAAAAATAGAGTTTTTGTATCCGTTCCAGAGTTTTATATGATCCAAGGTGAGCTGCTAGAGGAGAGTCGTGGCATTCACGAAGCACTTCCAGCCGTTGTGACTTGGGTACTACTATTCGCCAACTTGGAAGGACATTTGGGACTCGATACCGAGGCCTCGCATGTTTATATAGGACACCATCCTTAACTAAATAATCCGGATAATCGTTTGGACGTTCCTCAAGAATTTTAAGCATGCTATGGTACCACTTATCTGTGTTTCCCGGGCTCACCTGAATTACAGCAACTTCTGGAGTGGCGCTCGACTTAAGGCATCCAGCACCACGTTCATAAAACCCTTTCGGTGTTCTAAAACAAACTCAAACTGTTGCAGCTTCACTGCCCACCTTGCCAATCTACCACTGGGATCCTTTAAGTTGTTAAGCCACAGGAGACTGTGATGATCAGTTACTACGGTGAATTTTGCCCCCTCAATATACGGCCTGAATTTATTTATCCCGAATAGAACTGCCAGGCATTGTCTTTCGGTTACCGAATATTTTTTCTCAGCTGGCGAAAGAGTGCGACTAGCGTAAGCTATCACTACCTCACCTCCTTTGCTATCTGGTTGTGTTAGAACCGCTGCCACTCCCACATCCGAAGCATCACTCTGGATGGTAAAGGGTTTAGAAAAATCTGGGCTTACCAACAAAGAAGCGTTTATCAAGGCATTTTTGAGTTGGTGGAAACAATTATCCGCTTCCTGCGTCCACACCAACCTATTTCTTTTTCGCTTGCCCAGGAGAAGAGCTGTTAAAGGAGAGGTGAAATCTGAAAATTTCGGAATAAAGCGCCTGTACCAGCAGCAGAGCCCAAGAAATCGGTTCATTTCTGTGACTGTTTGGGGTTTAGGAAATTCCGCCATGGCGGCGACTTTTTCTGGATCTGTATGCAAACCTGATTTATCCACAACAAAACCAAGGTACTTTAAAGATGGTAGGCAGTACTCACATTTCTCTGCATTGATGGTTAAGTTGGCTTCTTTCAAGCGTTGGTAAACCTCCCTAAGCACTTGAAGATGTTGTTCAAACGTTGGTGTCGAGATAACAATGTCATCCAAAAAAACAAACACATATGGTTCCAACGAAGGACCTAACACTTGGTCCATTAGACGTTGCAAAGTCTGAGGAGCATTCGACAGACCAAACGGTAGCACCACGAATTCATAAAGCCCTCGAGAGGGAACAACAAAGGCAGTCTTTTCGCAGGACGTATCCTCTAAGGGAATTTGCCAAAAAGCGGACTTAAGATCAATTTTTGATAGATACCGTGCTCCAGTTAACATGTTTAAGATGTAATCGACTTTAGGTAAAGGGTAAGCATCTGGTTTGGTCACAGAGTTAAGTTTTCGACCGTCGAAACAAAAGCGCTTCTCACCGTTTGTTTTATTTACCAATAAAACAGGAGAGGACCAAGGACTCGATGAAGGCCGCACAACTCCCAACTCCAACATCTTGTCTAGTTCCCGATTGAGGTGAACCAGCATGTAAGGTGAGATCTGATGATGACGTT